CCCCCCCCCCCCCAAAACCTATACCTGTATAAAGTCAGAAACATTTTTCAGTGCAATTTGCATGACACCGTAAGCAGGACACAGGCTCCTCGGTTAGAAACACCCACAAGCCTGTCTCTGACCTAGGGGCTGATGTGTGGACAGCCTTCCTGAAGCAGGAGTCAGTGAGGGCTGTGGGTGCTCAGCGCCTCTTCACAATAGGGCTGCACCTCAGTCACAAAGGGGTCCCTTAGCACTTCCCACTTAGACTCAGACTTTGTGGGATTTAAGCTCTTTGTTGCAACATATGCCTGCTTTCCAGTCCCTCTGACGCCTGTCACCTCTGACATCAGACCTGCTCTGCAAGCCAACCTGAATGTGGGACACGGACTGGGACCTACTCAGGCACAGCACTTTCAAGAGGGAGCAGGCTCCTTATTACAGCTCTGAGCCCCTGACACAGACCTTTGGCAAGCTTCAGGAACCAGTGAGCCACTGGGACTGGTGCAGGCTAGTGGCCACAGAGGCTCAGACAGCACAAGGGGATGAGGGAGGTGTCCTTCACCTCTGGGACCAACGCCAACGTCAGGCCCTTAGCCATGTGCCTTCTCCAGCTGCCTGCCAAGACCCAGAGAGTTGCACACAACCAACCCCACACAGGGCCTCTGAGACCAGGAGTGGAAGAAAGACAAGTCTCATGGTCTTAGGACAGGGTCTTTCTCCTCTTCAGCCCTCTACTACATGCAGAAGACTCAAAACTGCTTCCTGAAAGCAGGGATCCCCACTCCCTTCACAGAGGGAAACAAGCTGCAGGACGAACAACTTGTCTAAGGACACAGAGGGAGTTGGTGGCAGAGCCAGGAATAAAAGCTGGGTCTCCAAGCCCACACCCAGACCCTACCCAAGAGCACGAGATCCCGCTGCCTCCCACAAGAGGTTTATGCCCAGCCCCTCACCTGTGCAGCTCGTCATCGGAGGGCGAGTACTTGGAGGTCACGTCAGCAAGGTCACCAAAGATCTGCTTGCTGTACACCGTCAGTGAGGACAGCAGAATCAGCTCCTGCCATGTGGAACTTAGCAGGCAAGTATAGTCCTTGATTGAGAGTTCACAGAAGAACGGCAGCTTCTTAATCCAAGCAATCTGCCTGAAAAGCAACTCATCCGCCAGGCGACACAGCAAGGCAAACAGCTCGGCCTGAGTCACTTTATACCTGCAGGCACAGTTAATACAAAGACATAAAAAATGAATCCAGCACACTGGGAGACAGACGGACAGGACGCCCAGAGCAGGGTAATGCGGCCCCGAGTCCCGGGGACGCGTGCCCATTCCTACTAACTGCTGTCACCTAGTGGCAGGAACAGTGACTGCCCGCCGGCTTTTTGTGCTGCTGAGCCCGGAGCCCGCAGGTGGTTTCACAGCCAGGAAATCCCATCCCCGGTGCTGGGTTCAGAGAGGACAGAACAGAACATGCATTTATGGAACAGCCGCCCCTTGGCTCCCAGCCACTAACACCTTCATCTCCACAGCTCTGCTTCAGGCTTCTGCTGACATGGCTTTCAGACCGGGGCGGTGCTTAGCTCTTTCCACGAGCACATGTGCAATGAAGGGACCTTAAAGTGAGGAACACCAAGTCCCAGAAGTGGTTTTCACAACAACGCTGACTTCTGCGGGGCACACTGGGTGTGCACGCACAGCAATGGTCAGAGCGATGCAAATGCGACAACGCACCGGCTCTGGACAGCCTCCTCACGGCTACATCGCACACACTTACCCGTCTTCGATAAGCATTGGAGTGCCAAGTGGTTCCAAGTCCTCGGCTGACACTAGCTGATTGATAAGACTATGTGACTGGGGATCTAGACTTCGGGCCTGGGGGGGCATCAGAGCTGAGTGAGCAGAATAGCTAAAAAGGTGCGGTAGGTACTGATAGTGCGTGGACACTGGCGTCCCGATATACTGATCCCTGAGTGCAGTGAATCCATTCAGCTCCACAGACCTACTGAAAAAGAAAGATCTATTTAATAGACCAGATAAATTCCCCCTCACATGTTCCACAGGTTCTTAGTGAAAA